GAAGCTTGGTGGGTCGAAACGCATAGGCGAAGTAGGTGGATTGAAAAGGGAAGGTGGTGCATTGAAAGTAGAAGGTGGTGTATTCAAGTGGGGAAAGAGTGTGACCGAACGAGGGGTGGCAGTGCTTGGAGCATTAAAATCTACTCTGGTTGAGCCTTGTACCTCCCTTCCACGTTCGGACGGTGCCGCAAGCTCTGTCCGAGCCTGTCGTGCAATCATGATGGGCTCTGGCAGGCGTAGGATCGGAGAAAACCCTGCAGCAGCAGCTGTAACACCACCTCTGTCAGCGGCAGCGGCTGTACCACAAAAGTTGCTTGCAGCAGCAGCTGTGGCACCAGCAGCGGCAGTAGCACCAGCAGCGGCTGTAGCACAAGCAGCGGGAGTAGAAACTGCAGCTGCTGTAGCACCTGCAGCGAATCCAGTCACCCATCGACGCAGTTTGACATTTCGAGGTTCTTCTCTCTCTCTGGATCGTCTTTGCTCCTGCTCTCGTTCCTTCCCCTCCCCTTGCCCCTGCCCTTTCCCGTTCCCCTGCGCTTTTCCGTGCCACTTTCCCTGCCTCTGCTCCTCCCATGGTCCCTGCTTATTTTCCCTGTCAGAAGAAACGGCTTCCCTCTCTTTCCTGACGCTTCTCCTGCCACCCGTGCTTCCACTGCAGCCGCCAATGCTGCCGAGCCTTCCCAGCTCCAAGCTGCTGCCAAGCCTTCCCATCGCTCCAGTGCTGCCGAGCCTTCCCATCCCTTCACCGCTGCCGAGCCTTCCCGTCCCTGCTCTGCTGCCGGGAAGGGAAAGGCTCAGCTCGCTGGCTGCCTCAGCCGCATCATCTTGCTTCAACGGTGGCGTCTTGGGGCTAGAGCGGGAGCTCCACACAGGCGCTGTGCGGGCGTGTCTGGGCGTGTCCCATACAGTCACACCATGCCTGTGCGTGTAAAAGTCAAGCTGGTCCGCTGTATCAGGGAGAAGCATTCTCTCGGCAGCACTCTCCCTTCCGCTGCCTGTGCCTCGGTGTCTCCGCGTGTAAGAGTCAAGCTGGTCGGCTGTAGCAGGCGAAAGAACCCCCTCCGCACCAGGCGCAAACGGCAGGGGGAGAAGATGCTCTCGAGGCCCCTGGGAATCAAGTGGTTGCGTCAGTGGCAGCGTTAATAGCAGTGGCGCTGGCTCACGTGTTGATCCTCCACGTGTCGAAACTGCTCCAGTCTCTCGTCCAGAAAGAAAGGTCAGGTGAAGGCTCGTATCCAGGCTCGGATTAAGGTTCAAATTCCGGCTCGGGTTCGGGCTCGGGTTCCAGCTCGGACTCAGGTTCGGGTTCCGGCTTGGACTCAAGTTCGGATTCTGGTTCGTATCCAAGCTCATATCCAGGCTCGGGTTGAGATCCACGTTGAGGTCAATAAACGTTGTCGTCGTCGTCGCCGCCGGCGCATCGGCGGAGCATTCTAGCCGCGATTCAATCGCGTCTAGCCGCCTTCGCTGCCGCCCAGACGACCGCGCCCCTCGAGCCTCGTAAACGTCGTCGTCGCCGTCGTCGCCTTCCCCGCGTTTCTCCGCGGATTCCGCGAACATTCTCCCCGCGCCATTCGTCGTCTTTAGAGATAACTTCAAGTTGCGCTCTGCTATAACTTCCTCCCGCACTTTCGTGGAGATTTCCTCTTTGAGAGCGAAAGGCATGTGGGCAGAAGCTTCCTGTCGTCTTCTTCCTTCGTGGGAGCTGCGGAGGATCACCGCCTGTGGCGGCGACGAGGCTGAGGCGTCCCGCCGCGATTGCCGCTCCTCCGCCGGACGCTTTTCTTCGGCGACGAACGAAGCGCCACGGAATTCGTCACCGTGACGAGAACCGTCACGTTTCACGTCGTCGGGTGGGACGACGCGCGGTTGAATCCGTTGGGCGAGCTCCCGTGACCTGCCGTCTAGAAACCGCCGTTCAGCTGGGTTGGTTCTGTTTGCTAACTCCGAAGTATCCGCACGTAGATTACAGTTTCCTGCAGTCATTCAGTTGACTACCCTCGGAGTGATTTGGTTTCCGCCTTCCCTTATTGCCAGTGCTTGTAGGGATACCGGAAGCAGCAGCAGCGCCGCGGAAACCGAAGCGAGAAAACGAAGGATTGACATATGCTGCTACGCCAATCCGTTGAGAACGGGTGTCCGAATGTCGTTACTCGCAAGGAAAGTAGTATGCCTGAGTCTTTTCTAGTAATATTAGAACGACAGAGTGCTCTAATAAGCTCAGATATCCAGTACGTGGAGATAAACATGACAAGAGAAACGACGCGGGAAAGCTGAATATTGAGCGACCCTATGGGGTTTGCGTCGATCGACATGATCATAGGCTCGTTGATGACAGATGATTTAGGTGGTTGATTGCCTAAGATCGCGCTTAGCCTCGGATTTGCCAAAGAATGCCCTAAGATTGTCCTGCATCTTGCCGGTCCCACCATGGAATGCCCTAAGATCGTCCTACGTATCGCCAGTCTTATCAGTGGCCTCCTGCCGGGCACCTAGGGGCTCCCAGCACATATTGACCCTAAAACGAGAAATGCTCTGCCGAGTCAATCTATTTTGACCAAAAACGACGTCCTGAGCCTGTGGGACCAGAACAGGATGTCCAATGACAGTCACCCACGAAACGGCGAAAGAGCAGTCGCAACGAGGCAATGTCAACGTTAAGATCGCTGTATCCGAAGCGTTTTGCACTTCTAACTCGCAATACCATCAAGCATTTGCTGTGACAGCTTACGCTAATACTGGCAACGCTCGCAGCATTCTCATCACAGCACTCGCGGCACTTCTGCATGCAGCGAAGCGCAATCACTACACAAGGACAAACTTTGTATCTCGAGCACGAGGTACGAATCTGGCCAAGCTATTTTTGTCAAGCTGGTTGCTGTGAATTGATGCGCTTCACGCTGCACGCCTCGCTGCGCAACACGCGTCGGTCGGCGTGATCTGCAAGAAAATCTCGACGACGTAGAAAGATTTCTAAGAGGGATTCTGAACGTGCTGGCTGAACGTGCTTGAATGAAAGCAGCAAGAATTGCTCTGCGTCAGCGAGCGGAGTATGTGGAGGGACGAGGGCCGTACGCACTGCTCCAGCGAATTACACGACGGTTGCACGCGCTTCGACTGTTGTCAATTCATCAGAGCACCTGCCAGAAAGTGGCACCGCATGTGACGGTTAGCTGTGAGTGGTCCCTCAGGTGACTAGTACAGTAGCGCTGACAGTGTCAAGAAGGGGGCGCCAGGTACGAAGCCAATAATGTAAGGGAAACAAACAATTGGCTCGGCCACCTGGCAAAAGGTTTGACAGGTCTGGGTGCACGTGAAGGCAGGACTTGTACTCTGTCCGGCCCGGGCCTTCTCATAGGCTCCGATTTGGGACGGAGTGGTGGTGGACAGATACACCCTTACTCTCAGTCTTCTCACCGGCGGAAGCAGTGGCTACAGTGTTTGGACATAGCGGGCTGGTGAGATAACTCGGTTGCGGGCCAAGTCGCACGAGGTGACGAAACCAGACTTGGGCCGTAAAATTCCGTTAATGCTGAAGAACTGTCTTAGTCGTTTAGACAGCAGTACCATTGTAGAACGTATAGAACCTTGACTAAACGCCCTGGGTCAAACTGTCAGTATAACGCATGTGATAGGACCTTCTTTGGTCCGCGGCGGCTACACTAAGCGTCGTACTCAGTATAGCATATGCCAGTCTAACGAGAATGAGGGTGTACTGCATTTAGAAGCGGAGAATGCGTTGGACTCAGGCCTGGCCACCCAAATCTTGGAAGCCCAGGCTCGGTTGCATTTCAAGGAGACCCGACCAGAGCGGAACTTTTCGAGTCCCAACCGAGCTTGGGGCAAAGCCTAGGCTGTACCAGACTTATTCCTGAAACCTAATTTGAAATATTCTTCATAAAAGGTTGACCGTTAATAGTAGAAGCGTTAGCTGACCAATAGTAATAATGCAAGTGACAGATTAAACAAGTGGATATGCAGCCTACGCTTACATCCTATACAGACACATATGTTGGAATGGAATTATATTTAGACATAAAATAAATTTCCGAGAGTTTGGGTGTAAGTGATGGCATTAGGATGTGGTAATTAATAGGAATCTCTTTATACAATGTCACCTTCATAATCAGGTAAGTTGAGCATACACAATACTGAAGCTAGAGAATGTGCTTATCGACGCGGTAGTTTTGTTTCGGGTAAATTCTAGCTGATACGTCACCTCAGACGTGTTTCGGGTCTGAAATGACGTGCACCATCAAACGCCATTGGGCAAAGATGTTTCGAGGGGGCGAAGCCATGCATATCCAAAACTTTCCACCTCGCCTTCAACCATTGCCAGGTCAGCTAAGGACGCGTCACCTGAACGCCGATCCTGCGATCGATCGTTAAATATCGATCTTTCACCGCATTGAAACTACGCACATCGTAGTAACAACTTCTAGATGTAAATTAAACCACGCAAAAAATCGATCCTTCGTAGGATCGATCCTGCGATCGGCGTTGAGGTAACGCGTCCTAAGCTGGGTGGTTCACCCTCCTCAACGGAAACTCTTGCACAGCAGCACCGCCATTGTTTCTAGAACGGTACAGTCGTTTCAGCAGCTTTCAAGAGGAGCGTGAATTGCTGCCAATGTGAGTACTCAACCATCGTTTCCCGCGACTGTATGCATTGCACGCGATCGTTGGTACTTCCGTTCGCTCTGCTAGTCTGTGGCTGTACTTGCATCCTGCACGCGGTACTCTCGTTCTGGTGCCGCTCGATTCTCGGTTTTGAAGATCTGGGGTCGCAGCAGAATCGGAGCATCAGTGTCTGGACGACGGCAGCGCTTAGCCACATCGCGTGACGAGCCCGTTCGTTTGACGGACTCCGTTCCTGCTGGACAAGTCCTGCTCGTTCCAGTAGCTGCTAACCTCTCGCAGTCAAGCAGTCACTCGGTCGAAACTCCCGTTGATCCCACCGGTAGGCCTTTCTGACCAATCAGTAACCAGCGACTCTGACAATGGCAGGGTCTGCAGGCGCAAGCGTAGCCAGACCCGCTGGTGATAGGATCCTCGTGGAATGGCTAGACCCTGTGATAGTTAAAGTGACAATTAATCGACCCGAGGCGCTGAATTCGCTGACGCGGCCCATGATCCGCGAGCTCGCTCAGGCGTTTAAGAAGATTCGCTTGGAAGGGAGGGCGAGGGCTGTCATTCTCACCGGCGCTGGCCGCGCGTTCTGCGCTGGAGTGGTGAGTCAGGAGAGAAGAGTGATGAGAATGAGTGGAGAGTGATGAGAAAGAGCTGAGAGTGGTGAGAAAGAGCTGAGAGTGGTGAGAAATGTACAGAGCGTGATGGGGAAGGGGTGGAGAGTGGCGAGGAGCGAGTGCAGTGGAGAGGCTTCGCAGAAAGGGCCTGGCTGTATAAAAATGGTATTGATTTTGAAAGGGGTGGGGACGTACTGAAAACTGCGTTACTGGGAGACGACCGACCACGGATGAACAAGCCGACCTGAAGGAACAGACGATGCAAGGAATCAGGAATCAGGAGGAATCAGGAGGCTGTCCGTGGTGATTCTTATGTTCGATTTTCTGTCCCGCGCACCAATTCAGAAGGCGTGCTATAGAGGATATGAATGAAGAGACAGACGCAGTGGTGATGTTATTGACGAATGTTATCATTTACAAGGAAATGTTTTTGTTTTCTAAAAATCGTGCAGGACCTCACAGCAGCGCAGAGTGTGTTTCAAGGGGATGGGACGGATGAAGAGACAGACGTGGTGGTGCAGATGGAGCGATGCCCGATGCCCATCATAGGAGCCATTAGCAGCACAAGGCGTGCTTCAATAAGGACGTGGCGTGACAGACGAAGAGACAGACGTGGTGGTGCAGATGGAGCTGATTTGTTTTGAGGCGCCTCAAAACCCCGTCTGATTTGCATATGTAGCCGGCTTGCAGGTTCGTTTCCTGTTTTCCTTTCGTGTTCTCCTGCAGGACCTGGCAGCGGCGCAGAGCGTGTTTCAAGGGGATGTGTCGGACGAAGAGGCAGACGTGGTGGTGCAGATGAAGCTGATATGAAAACTCATTTCCTCCTGCATTCTTCTCCCTCAGGACCTGACAGCGGCACAGAGCGTGTTTCAGGGGGATGTGACGGACGAAGAGGCAGACGTGGTGGTGCAGATGAAGCTGATATGAAAACTCATTTCTTCCTGCATTGTTCTCCCTCAGGACCTGACAGCGGCACAGAGCGTGTTTCAGGGGGATGTGACGGACGAAGAGGCAGACGTGGTGGTGCAGATGGAACGATGCCCCATGCCCATCATAGGAGCCATCAACGGCCATGCCATCACTGCTGGGTTTGAGATCGCCCTGGCTTGTGACATTCTTATTGGCAGCACGCATGCCAAATTCGCTGACACGCACAGCAAGTGAGTGAGGTTATAGGGGGTTATGGGGCCGAGGGAGTGGATATGTGTCATGTGGAGCTGAGTGAGCTTGTATGGAGTACGGAGTTGAGAGCTTGTATGGGGTATGGAGCGATGCCCGATGCCCATCATCTGAGCCATCTGCGGGGTTTGAGATCGCTCTGGCTTGTGACATTCTTATTGGCAGCATGCACGAGAGATTCGCTGACACGCACAGCAAGTGAGTGAGATTACCTGGGGAAAGGGCATGAGCTTGGTCTGGCCTGTAACGTTCCCATTGGCAGCACGCATGGTGTGGAACAGTCATTATCCTGCACACCTGAATCATGCTCCAATCATGACGTAGATAATGGAAGTTGGGAATGCTTCCATCTCTGCCACATGCATCGTGAAGTGTGGCATGTGTGATTGGCCTAATTCATACTCAAATAATGTTGCACAGTAAGTGTCGATCTGAGGTGCCTAAATTTCACATAGGATGAACACTTCTGAAAAGTCACTGACTGTGAGAATCACTGACTGCAGTCACAATGTCGTCTGTCGTGAAACCTCATAAAACTTCCACTGTCTCTGCTCTTCTCTCCCAAACGACCGACAGGTTCGGCATTTTCCCATCATGGGGCCTTTCACAAAAGCTTCCTCGCCTCATCGGGGTGAACAGGGCACGAGAGGTCTCTCTAACAGCAGAGCCAGTCAGCGCAGACAAGGCGGGGCGGTGGGGTTTGTTGTCCAGAGTGGTTGAGGCAGATCAGCTCATGCCGACAGCAATCGCCATTGCCAAGACCGTCGCTGCCAACCATCCTGGCATGGTGCTTCGTTACAAGGCAGTGATCAATGACGGGATTGGTCTGAGTCTCAGCGATGGGAGGCGGCTAGAGACGGTGAGTCACTTTGTTTGTCTTTGTTTTTTCCAGTGCAGAGAGGTTTGGTGGTAGCCATTCTAGCATGGTGCTTCGTTACAAGGCGGTGATCACCGATGGGATTGGGCTGACTCTCAGTGAAAGCAGGCGACTAGAGATGGTGAGTCCTATGTTTCATCTATTGCCATAAGTATTGCTTGTGCAATGCACATTCTTGTGCTTGTAGTCGCATAAAGAAAGCGGGTAGAAACGCGAGTTTCTCTCTCAAACCACAGTTTTGTCATCCTCACATTCTCACCTGCGTGGCCGTTTTGCAGGAAAGAGCACGGGCATACTACAAGCAGATGACACCTCAAGACTTTGATAGCATGAAAGTGTTTATAGCCTCCAGGTCAGGGAAGTCAAAGCTCTGAGTACATATGGAATGCTCAAAGCAAAGGGGAGATCATCACACAGTGTATAGTTGTTTGCCACATATCGCGCTGTCTTTGCATGTTGTGATTGTTACTTGATAGGGAATCTGGCCGCATCTTGCAGTCTTGCAAATTAGCAAGCTAAAAGACTGGAATGCTTAGCTAATCCCTACAAAGATCTGGTCATAAGGAAGCTGCAAACAAATCCCAAGCTGCATAGAGCAGGAACCACTGGTGACTCGGTTGTGATTTCTGGCACTTCTCATACCGAGGATATGCACACACTGTACTGAGATAATTGTGCAAATGCGGCGCAACTGTGGACGTCTTGTGAGATCTGCCCCTGCCACGTCATTGCATTCCAAGCCCCTTCTCCTCCCCCATCGCCTTGTCGGTGGTCACCTGAAGTCTCGAGGTTGTTGCATGTCGAGTACAGAGCCACAGTGGCTCATCTCACGGCACGTCAGCTCGAAAGGTCCTCCACAGTGGAAGTCCCACTCCAGTGGGCTTGCGGCAACCGTGAGGGGGTTCCGCCAGGCTGGCCAACCAATTGACCTGCTTGTGAAGCTGTAACAGGCTCATTTCTGGGCATCGGGTCGGGTTGTCCAAATCACGGATCGCGTCGCACGCATCGCGAAAGCAAGAGTCCCTTTCAGGGCAGCTAGGGCGGCAGACACCTGACGTCATCGAGTCTTCCGCCTGGGGATCGTTCCAAATCAAAGTCGCTGATGTGGCATTTGGATCCACGAACCTGGCAGAGGCGGACGGAGAAAGCGAGGGGCTCGGACCGCACGGGGTGTTTGCCCATCTCACGTCACGTCACGTCACGATCCATTCTGCGCGCCAATCTGAACGACATTGTCAAGCTGCCTGTCAGTTTCTCAACCACCGAGGTCCATTCACGGGTCAATTTTGAAGATCGCAGCCGCAGCAGACTGAACACTCCTAGGCGACGGCTGGCTGAGGCGAGTCCCTCGCCACTAGAAACCTCATGACGGGACTGGTCCTTCGCGAAGGGATAGCTCACGGTCAATTTGTGGCGGAAGTTTCGATTGGTTTCCAGTCGTCCGATGAAGTGCCCAATTTCACCACACAGCAACCCAAACCCTCCATGCATTGAATCACAACCGTCCCCGAGCCGCAATGCGTGAAGTCCAAGGGACAGCGGACGGGCCAAATGAAAATTCCACCCAGAACAGAACCCTTCAGTCTGAAGGTCAAAAGATCCCGCGAACTTTTTGAATCGACCGCTCTTACAGAGTTTAGTCTCTCACTGCTGGTTCCCATCGACGGTTAAAAATCATGCACGTTTGGAACCCTTACAACCGCAAGCCATCGTTGGAGCTGCCGACATTTTTCGGGGCACTTTCGTCCCTCGCGTCTCGTTGCATGGCTGTCAAATCATGGCCAATCAGCAACTATAGACGGTGGAATTCCTCGTCGCCTCTGATGTGCGCCATTGCGTGCCTTCCAGTCCGCCTGGCCTGGGCCCTGGGGTTTGCTCGCCTCGCTCGCCTTGTATGCTCCTCGAGGTTTCATTATTCATCCTGCCTGCCTCCGCTTCCACTGCTATCGCTGCAGCCAATGCAATCAGCCGAGTCAGCCCCGCGCGACCCCATTCGACGGAACGAAAACGGAACGGAATGCAACTGCACGCGCACTAGCGCACACCCTAACCCAGCTCAACCAGACAAAATTCCTTACCAGCCATATTAACCGCTCTGAATTCATTGTAATCAACCTCGAGATTAGCTACGGAATCTAACCACTGCACGAGAAACCTTCTAGCGTATTCCCTCCCGCCCCATCCAAGCTCGAAAGCTCGAAACATAATGCAACCTCCAAGCGCCACTTTCCATAACCCACTTGCTTGCAACGGACTCCATACCATTCCGCACCTTCGAGTCCAATAAAGCAACTGGCAGTCTGCCTCTGCTCCGCACCCCCCACAGCCGTAGTAACTGACTTTACCCCCACCTTTCACATCCACTCGATTGTTCAACCGAGCGACAGTTGCGCCAGTTTTCTGCAGAAGCAACCACCACTTCAGCCGTCCCCGTCTCATTTGAAATACCCACCAGTTCCTTGGATTGCCTTGCATCTCCTCCCTTCATAAGCAGCAATCCCCCTCCCGTTTCTCATTTCTCTTCATTCGCATTTCCGATTAGAAATTGCTAGACTTTTGCCAGGGCAGTCATTCAGCCGAATCCCGCATTACATTAGTCCGCAGCCCGCCTCCAGTTCCTGCATTACAAGTGTTTTTTATCGTTGAATTCCCTCTCATTCTATAGCCATGGATTCCCACGAATCGTACGACCCCAGCCGTTGCCCCGCATGGCTCCCTCGTTTGCTCCGCGGCCGCTATTTCACGAGCTGCCCGCGCCACGCCGGCGCTAGCAGAGCCGAGCGAAACTATTTCTGCGTCACGTGCAGCGGCGAATCGCTCTGCACCGCCTGCATTTCGGAGCAGCATTCCAACAACTCCGGCCACCACCATTCCGGCTGTTCAACCAATTCCAACGACTCAAAACCCCACAACATTCTCCAAATCCGCCGCTCGTCGTACCACGAGTGCGTGCGAATCAACGAAGTCGCGAAAATCCTAGATCTGTCGCACATTCAGGTGTACGTAATCAACAGCGCCAAGATCGTGTTCCTCAACGGCCGGCCGCAGGCTCGTCCCGTGAAGGGCGCGCCGTTCTATTGCGAGACGTGCGAGAGAATGCTGCTCGACGCGAGTCGGTTCTGCTCCCTCGGCTGCAAACTCGCTGCTGTCCCGAAAGATTCTACGCTTACTTTTGTTCCGCGGGTTGCGTCGGCGTCTGGAGGACATGGCGCCGGGTGTAACGGGACGAACGCCGCGAAGCGTGCGTCAGCAGCTGGCCCTGCCACATCACACCGGGCGAATGGGTACAATGCAGCGGCGGCAGGCGGAGATGCTGACACGTGGCGGGAGGAGAACGGCATTGGTAATGCGTCCGCTGCGTGGGTTCAGAAGGCGAGAACGACAGGAAAGAAGCGCGTTACTCCTGAAGTGAACACGGCGACGTCGTCCCCGGAAATTTCTCTGCTAGCTGCTTCTATGGAGTATGACAATATCGAGGACAGCTTCGGCGGCGCAGACAGCGGCAGAATTCTCGTACCGTACGACGACGACGACCGTCTGCTTGGCGAGCGTGACGGTGACGTTAACGGTGACGGACAGTGCGACGGGTCGTTCGTTTGGAGCCAGCGCGGATTCGGCGGAGGAAAGAGAGTCCGCGTGGAAAAGTATCCGCTTGCGGGGAAATTCCCGCAGCTCGTGCCGATTTCGTCCCCGTTTTCTTATCCTGACGGCTCGCCGTCATCTCCTCCGCGGCTCGGGTTCTCCCCGCCGTCAACGCCGAGCCTGACCGGCAATCGCCGACGGAAGGGTGTGCCTCAGCGATCTCCTCTGGTGTGAGTGACGTCTTGGAAGATAACGATAGGAAACAAAACCTGGAAAGTAAGGTTTCAAGCTTTGAAGAAATGGTGTACAGTGTGAGGAACCTCTCGCGGAAGCTTCATATGCGTACATAATGTCGGAATGGTCTCAATGCTGGTGCTGGAAGGGACGTAAGAAGAAGCCGTGACATAACAGAAGACATGGCGACTGGCATGGGGACGGGCGTGGCGCGGGCATGATAACGGGCATGGGAACGGGCATGTAATCTTCTTGGCTCGTGAGCGGCTGAGTTTGGCGTTGGGGCTTGGCCAGCTGAAGCTGATCCACCGTTGCTGCCAGATAGGAACTGGGGGAACTGGATGGGAAGGAAGGAGCAGGAGGGTGAAGGGAATGGCTGGCGGCATTGTGACTTACTGCTGCTGCTGATGGTGGATTTGGATGGCCTGGCTTGATGTGGTTTGGCCTGATATCAATTACATGGGTGCAGCTGACCAGACAAGGATTGCAGCAATCTCCTGCAATTACTGGATCGTCTGCAGTGAAATTCGTCGCTGGTGGGCCATATCAGTTCTGGCTGGAGCAGTTGTTGGGACATGGTTCTTCTTGGACGAGCAACAACATGTGACATGTAACATGTGACATGTGGCATGTGACATTGGACATGGGACACGAGGCATACCACCCACATGTCACATGTCCTATGTCTCATGACAAGGTGCAGGTGCAGTTCCAAGCCCCAACAATGCTTCTACCACTGCCAACATCACCGACTGTACATACACACCCATTTGCTGCTGTATATCCCTGATGGTCTATAGCTGCATATGCAGCTGCTGGTGCTTATGGAGTAAATGTTTTCCTTTATTATGCTTTGTATGTTAATCCTTTCTTGCAGCTAGCAGTGTGTAGTGCTGCTGGCTGTTCTGGATACTACACTGTAATCGATTTGCTTTATTGCTGGCCTTGCCTCTCTTTTTCACAAACTTTTGACAGTAAATATTCTAGGCGCCGTAGCTTATCTGCTTCTTCATCAACCGTTCAGTGTACAGGAAGCGAGTGTTTCACTAGCGAGGAACAACCTCACCATTTGCACAACAGATCAGCCTGCTCCCCTTTTTCTTGTGCGCCGTGAAGGAAGCTTTGAATCGAGAAAGCAGAGCTTGATAACGGAAAGTAACAGAGCTTTTAGTAGCAGTAAGCGGCGGGGATCACGGAAAGTTGGTAGCGCTTGGTGAGGTTAACCGCTGGACAGTGGGATTGAGTCGTATGGGCGTATTATCCCCTCTCGCATTAATTTGTCTGCTGATTGATCAGTCTAAAGAATCTTCCAGGAACATAACGGCTTCGGCTGATTCCGTCTCTGTACCCGTGGCTAATACAGTCTTGCATGAGCCCGTTTTGAGTCGGTTTGGAGGTCATATACACTGGGTAGACCCATGCCTAGAGAACACGCCTGTAACAATTCCTCTTGAGCTGTTTTGGAAGTCAATTGGTCAAGCAGACCCGTGCCTAGGACGCGCTGTTAGAGGTGTTTCACGTTATCAGAGTAATTTCTGGCTTGTAGAGATAATTCAAGCTATTAGAAGTATTGTTTCGCCCTAGGACACGCTAGTAACCATCCCCCCACCCCACCATGACGTCGAGCGGTTCTGACGTGGTAGCAGCGCTGGGTCGCCCGATTCGCGTCTTCACGTACGGAGCTGCGACGCCTGCGACTCCTGCGACGGTCGAGAGCGATGCGACTGCGACGGCGGGCGACTCGGAACGAGAAGGAGGCCCGGTGACAGCAGGAGGTTCGCAAGCGGCGGATCGGGGAAAGGAAGTTGCTGACGAGTTCTATGAGTTCACGCCGGCGGATTATTCGAGATTGATGGCGGGAAAGAAGGAAGGTGCGTGCAGGAGGGTGTGTCTGATCTGTTTCGAGGCTGTTGGCGCAGATGGTTTTTGTGAAATTTTGAGTCGACTCAAAAGTCACCTCGTTACAATGGCACACGACACTGTGCCTGATCTGTTTCGAGGTTGTTGGTGCAGATGGTTTTTGAAAATTCTTAAAAAAACACTGGGAAGAAACAGTTTTATGCGTGAATCGTGAGTGAGTGTATGTTCCTGTTTGTGGTTGTGCCTGGTATAGTTATTAACGGCTTTAAACATGATGGTCATACCTGGTCTGTGAAATGAAAACCGTCAAGACCCAGCCCAGTATATCCAATTTTTCCATGCGTCTACTATAGCTGCTAGATCCACCCTCCCTGCTCTCCCTTCCTAAACTACTCCCCCGTGCGGCTTTCTCTTGCCTGCAGAGCGCTTCCTCAAGACTAAAGCCATCCGAGACCAGCCATGTTGGATTCATTTTGTAGAATTCTAAAAAACGACTACTTTGCCCCTTTCCTTGCCTGCAGAGCGCTTCCTCAAGACTAAAGCCATCCGGGACCTAGAGCAGCAGCAACGGAAAGCACAGTTCAAACAGGTGGGCAGACGGGGAAATATGTGGTTTGGTTGAATGGCAACAAATAAGGTTTCCAATTTCCAACTGTCATGAGAGAGGAGAGAAAAAAAAGGACTCTGTATGAGGTTGTAGAATGCAGTATTCGCTTCTCCTCTAAGTCAGTTAGTTTGCTTCTAAAACCCCACCAGTTTGTCGGAGCCCGCTCTCCGTTCCCAGTGCTCACCTTTCTTGATAAAAGATTTGTTTTGAGACGTCTCAAAACAAATCTTTTATCCCGTGCTTCTCAAACCCCACCAGTTTGTCGGAGCCCGTTCGCCGTTGCCAGTGCTCACCATTCTTTCCCTCTCTCACCATTCTTTCCCTCTCTCACCATTCTTTCCCTCTCTCACCATTCTTTCCCTCTCTAACCATTCTTTCCCTCTCTCACCTCCCCAGCCTATCATCAGAGTCCGCTTCATTCGCAGTATCACCTTCGTTCTCCATTCTTCCCTTCCCAACCCCTCCAGGCGATTATCAGAGTCCGATTCCCTGATATCGCAGTGGTGGTGGCAGCCTTTGCCCCCACGGATGCTGTAGCGGCAGTGCGGCAGCCTTTGCCCCCACGAGGTGACTGTTGAGTCGACTCAAAAACCTTTGCCCCCACGGATGGAGATGCACCACCACCACTTCACCACTTCAACAAAGCCCAATCCCTCGTCTCCAGTGCTCACTCATTTCTACCCCTCCCAACCCCTCCTTTCTACCCTTCCCAACCCCGCCAGGCGATCATTAGAGTTTGATTCCCTGATAAACAACACAGTGGTGAAGGTCCTCTGTTTCACTCTTTTCCACCCTTCTCAACTCCTCTAGGCGATCATCAGAGTTCGAGTCCCTGATAAACAACACAGTGGTGAAGGTCCTCTGTTTCACTCCTTCCCACCCCTCTCAACTCTTCCAGGCGATCATCAGAGTTCGATTCTCTGATAAACAACACAGTGGTGAAGGTCCTCTGTTTCACTCCTTTCCACCCCTCTCAACTCCTCAAGGCGATCATCAGAGTTTGATTCCCTGATAAACAACATAGTGGTGAAAGTCCTCTGTTTCACTCCTTTCCACCCTTCTCAACTCCAGGCGATCATCAGAGTTCGATTCCCTGATAAACAACACAGTGGTGAAGGTCCTCTGTTTCACTCCTTTTCACCCCTCTCAACTCCTCCAGGCGATCATTAGGATTCGATTCCGTGATAAGCAACACAGTGGTGAAGGTCCTCTGTTTCACTCCTTTCCACCCCTCTCAACTCCTCCAGGTGATCATCAGAGTTCGATTCCCTGATGACACAGTGGCGGAGGTGGCCGTTGCCCCCACGAATGAACCTTCACCACCACCACTTCACCTCTTTCTACCCCTTTCAACTCCTCCAGGCGACTATCAGAGTCCGCTTTCCGGACAACACAGTGGTGGAGGCGGCCTTCGCCCCCACGGATGCTGTAGCGGCAGTGCGGCAGTTTGTGTGCAAGTGTCTGCTACAACCGGACCTGCCTTTCTTCTTTTGTAAGTGCTACACTGGTTATTTATCGTTCGGTTTTTTTTTTCCCCTTGTTTAGGTTTGAAGGCACACTTCTTTTTGTGTTACTGTCCCGTCCTTTCATCAGACACAACGCCACCAAAGAGGAGGATCAAGAACGAGGAGGAGGATCTGTACACTGCGCAGCTCACTCCAGGCGCTCTGCTGCACGTGGCAGTTGAATCTTCTGCTGCAGGTAGGAAGTTTTTCAGGGCAGAGTGTTCGTCAGTGCATTGTCAGTTGGGCCGATGCAGAGAATGAGAGAGAGAGAGAGAGAGAGAGAGAGAGAGAGAGAGAGAGAGAGAGAGAGAGAGAGAGAGAGAGAGAGAGAGAGAGAGAGAGAGAAAAAAAAAGTATGGGGCTACTTTTGAGTCGACTCAAAAGTCACCAGGTATGGGGCTTGTGTGCGGCTTACTCCAGGAGCAGTGCTGCAGGTGGCAGTTCAACCTCCATCCTGTCAACATCAACCGCCCTTCCATATCGATCCCTTTTGAGGCGCCTCAAAACAGGTGGCAGTTTAAATTCCATCCTGTCAACATCAACCGCCCTTTCAAATCAATCCCACCCGTCCCCCACCACAACTTCCCCTGTTTTCCACCACCTCTCCGCAACCCACCTCTCCGCAACCCACCTCTCCGCAACCCACCTCTCCGCAACCCACCTCTCCGCAACCCACCTCTCCGCAACCCACCTCTCCGCAACCCACCTCTCCGCAACCCACCTCTCCGCAACCCACCTCTCCGCAACCCACCTCTCCGCAACCCACCTCTCCGCAACCCACCTCTTCCGCAACCCACCTCTCCGCAACCCACCTCTCCGCAACCCACCTCTCCGCAACCCACCTCTCCGCAACCCACCTCTCCGCAACCCACCTCTCCGCAACCCACCTCTCCGCAACCCACCTCTCCGCAACCCACCTCTCCGCAACCCACCTCTCCGCAACCCACCTCTCCGCAACCCACCTCTCCGCAACCCACCTCTCCGCAACCCACCTCTCCGCAACCCACCTCTCCGCAACCCACCTCTCCGCAACCCACCTCTCCGCAACCCACCTCTCCGCAACCCACCTCTCCGCAACCCACCTCTCCGCAACCCACCTCTCCGCAACCCACCTCTCCGCAACCCACCTCTCCGCAACCCACCTCTCCGCAACCCACCTCTCCGCAACCCACCTCTCCGCAACCCACCTCTCCGCAACCCACCTCTCCGCAACCCACCTCTCCGCAACCCACCTCTCCGCAACCCACCTCTCCGCAACCCACCTCTCCGCAACCCACCTCTCCGCAACCCACCTCTCCGCAACCCACCTCTCCGCAACCCACCTCTCCGCAACCCACCTCTCCGCAACCCACCTCTCCGCAACCCACCTCTCCGCAACCCACCTCTCCGCAACCCACCTCTCCGCAACCCACCTCTCCGCAACCCACTTCTCCGCAACCCACCTCTCCGCAACCCACTTCTGACTCCTCCGCCCCAACCTCCCTCTTGCACCCGGATTGCTACCCACTTCTTGCACTCAAGGACGTTCCTTCGCAACAGATGTTTCCACTTGTTCCCCCCACCCGTGCCCCCCACCCATGCCCCCCACTCCTTGAGAACCCCCAGCGTCCCTCTTACACTCGGTCCGGACATTCTTGCACTCAAGGACGTTCCCTTGCACCAGATGTTTCCACTTGTTCCCCCCACCCGTGCGCCCCACCCCTCCAGAACTCTCAGCGTCTCTCTTGCACCCGGATGTTCTTGCACTGAAGGACGTCCCCTCGCAACCAGAACTGACCCTGGTGGAGTCCAGCGAGGGGTCACTGGAGAAGAAGGGTGAGAAGGGCAAAGGAGAGGTGAAGCAACAAGGGGCGGCTGCAGGGACGGGTGGTGCTGTGCCAGGGGCGTCCAAGGATGAGGAGGGTAAAGGAGAGGAGGATTGTTCTCCCACTACTACGCTTCCAACCCAAGCAATCCACCTATTTCCCACCCGTCCCTTCCACCCTTCCCCCTCACCCGTGTCCCCCACCCTACCAGAACCCACTTTGGACTCAGCCTCCCCATCGTCGCTCTTACACCCGGACATTCTTGCACTGAAGGACGTCCCCTCGCAACCAGAACTGACCCCGGTAGAGCCCAGTGAGGGGTCACTGGAGAGAAAGGATGAGAAAGGCAAAGGAGAGGTGAAGCAACAAGGGGTGGCTGCGGGAACGAGTGGTGCTGTGCGTGGGGCGTCCAAAGCTGGGCTCTCCTCCAAGCCTAAGTGGTTCAAGCGATAAATTCTTCACCTTAGCTAAAGAGAAGGCCGATAGGGGTAGTGGAGTTGTGAGCTGCAGGGACGGGTGGTGCTGTGCGTGGGGCGTCAAAAGCTGGGCTCTCCTCCAAGCCTAAGTGGTTCAAGCGGTGAACTCCTGACCTTAGCAGAACAAAGCCCAAAGGGGTGGCTGCAGGGACGGGTGGTGCTGTGCCAGGGCCGTCAAAAAGCTGGGCTCTCCTCCAAGCCTAAATGGTTCAAGCGATAAACTCTTGACAATAGCAGAACAAAGCCCATACGGGCATGGAGAGGTGAATCAAGAAGGGGCGGCTGCTGGGACGGGAAGTACTGTGCCAGGGGCTTCAGAAGCAGGGCTCTCCTCTAGAATAATTGGTTCAGGCGGTAAATTGTGATCCCAGCAGTACAAGGTTGACAGGAGCAAAAAGGGGCGGCTGCAAGGTTGGCTGGTGCTGGGCCAGGGTCTTCCAAGGCAGGTCTCGCCTCCGAATATACGAGCATGTTCCTACACCTCGTATCAGACACACCTCGTATCAGCTTTATTCTGCAGTGGTTGGATGCGTTTTAGTGCTGTTCGACATGAATCTGATACCGGGTTGCCTGATATGCGGCCGTAGGAACACGCTCTAAGCGGGAGTTTTGATTGCTGCAGAATAAGACAGTATGGGCTTGTGAGATTTGGATGAGTTGAAGTTTCAAGACGTTTCAAGGGGTGAATCATGTGATCTGATCAGGTTCCAAAAGCATGTTATTCAGTGGTGCTGTTGCAAAAGATGTCATGTCAAGACTCTTGTTACGGGTGCAATGAATCGAGGTAGCGAGAATTGCACTAAGGTGTCAAACGAGTACAAAATGTGAGCGAAGGCATGAGCGAACATTTATACGCAAAACATGCAAAACGGTAACGCGGTGCGTGCGAGCTTGCTAGTGCTACGCTGGAGCGAGGCTCGGGCTAGTCCCGAAGCGTAGGCCGATACGGCCATGCCAGCAGTGCGAGGTTTGGCAAAACAGTGCGCGCGAAGTCGGCGAGGTTCCGTTAGTAGTAACGGGCGAACAATCGGCTGTTGCTGTACGCGATGTAGTCGGCCCCGTAAGGAATGCCGAGAAAATTCCTTACACTACCCCCCCCTTTAAGAAGCCCCCTCCCCTACGCGAGTGCGTGTATATCGCGGAATCCCCGGCTCCTCAGGTACACTTGCAGGGCAGGGTGATTTTCGATGTTGCTCAGGGGCACCCAGCTATCTTCAGTTGGCGTGCGGTCTTTCCAGCGAACGAGGAATTCAATCCTCCTGATTCCCGTGGGGTGGCGGATCCGATGGCTCAGAATTTTGTCGGGCTCGATGATCGGCTCTGATGCAGGGCGAGTCATTGATTGTGGCCGGTGACGCGGCAATTGACTTGTGGTCGGGATGTATGGGCGAAGTAGGCTGACGTGGAACGAAGGGCTGATGTACCAGTCGGTTGGCAACAGTAGGTGCGCGGTGACGGGTGTGATCATGTGACTGATTTGGAATGGTCCACAGTAGCGCGGTCGTAATTTTGGTACGTCGGGCAGTCGCAGATTTTGCGTGTCGAGCAGCACGTAATCTCCAGATTGGTACGTGACAGGACGGCGGTGGCGATCAGCGTTGCGCTTAGCGATGACGTTGGCCTTTTTGATTGCTTCGGCGGCTCTGGCGCGGGCAGCTTGCAGGATTTCGGCGAATTGTTGTGCACGTGGCGTTGGGTTGTCCTGACTCGGCGTCATGGGCACTGTGGGGTTGTGCCCATAGTTCAGGTAGAACGGGGACTGCTGCGTCGTGGCTGATGTGGCGTTGTTGTACGCGAACTCGATCAGCGGCAACTGCTGCTCCCAGGTCGTGGGGTCGTCGCACGTGGCACGAATCAACTGCTCCATCGTCTGATTCGTCCGTTCCGTTTGGCCGTCGGTCTCGGGGTGGTACGACGAACTGAACTGTAGCCTGGTCCCGAACTGCTCCCAGAGGTTCTTCCAGAAGTTGCTGGTAAACTTCGTGTCCCTGTCGCTGATAATTGCTGCTGGTATCCCGTGCAGGCGAACAACGGCTGCGATGAACAGGCGAGCGGTCTCCTCGGCCGAGATCGACTTTTTGCACGCAGCGAAGTGTGCCATCTTCGTCAGCCTATCCACGACGACCATCACCGCGTCGTTACCCCCAGGGTTCGAAGGTAACCCTGTGACGAAGTCCATGGTTACTTGCTGCCAGGCGCGTTCGGGCGGTGGTATCGGCTGCAATTGACCCGCCTTCCGCTTCCTTGAACTCTTTATCACCTGACACGTAGGGCACGAGCCCACGTGCTGCTGTACGTCGGTCAACAGCTCCGGCCAGTAATAATACCGCTGCAGTTGCTGTCTCGTTTTTTCTACCCCGAAATGTCCCGAGGTAATCCCGTCGTGTGCCTCGTGTAGTAGCAGCTCCCTCAGTAGTGAGTACGCGGGTACCCAAATGCGGTTGGTGCCTGTTTTTACGTAATAGACTCCTCTTGCTTCTGCCAGTTGCTGTGAATTTCCGGTCGTGAAAAATGGGTCGGTGCGGTATCCGTGGGTGAATAGGCCAGTTAAAAGTGGGTTGGTCTGGGCGAGTAGGATGGCGTGGAGTTGGGCGGTGGGGCGGGTGAGAGCGTCGGCGATGTTGGATGCGCCTTTTTTGTACGTAACGGTGTAGTGAAAATTGGACTCGAGATAGTCCAACCAGCGAATCTGTCGTGGGTTGAGATTCGGTTGGGCGCGAAGGTACTGTAGCGAGCGGTGGTCTGTCCGTACTGTCACGTCGGCGCCAGTCAGGTAACATCGCCAAACTTTGAACGCGTGCACGATCGCTAGCATCTCGCGGTCGTGTATCGGGTAGTTACGTTCGGGCGGGTGTAGTTTGCGGGACTCGTACGCGATTGGCTGGAGGCCGTTCCCGAAGTCCTGCAACAGTACTGCTCCCACAGCGATGTCACTTGCGTCGGTGACGAGCTCGAACGGACGGTGGGGATCTGCAATGTGAAGGACGGGCGGGGAGCACAAAATATTTTTGAGGGCCGAGAAGGCAGCTTGCTCTTTCTCCCCCCACGTGTACTCAACCCCCTTCCTCAGCAGGTCGGTCAACGGGGCAGTCAGCTTCGCCATGTCGGGGACGAACCGACGCACGTAGTTGACGAACCCCAGAAAACTCTGCAACTCGGTCAGGTTGGTCGGCGCGTGCCATGCCTGAATCGTCGCAATTTTCTTCGGGTCTATTTCCACTCCTGCAGCTGAAATAACATGTCCCAAAAACTCCAGGCGGTCCTGTAAAAACTCACACTTAGATGCTTTGGTCAGTAGGCGGTTCTCACTCAGGATTTTAAAAACTGCTTCGATGTCTTGTAAGTGCTGTGCTCTGTCAGGGCTGTAAATCAGTATGTCGTCCAGATAAACGATGACGCACTTATCTAAAAGTGGGCGGAATGCTTCGTTCATGGTCATTTGGAAAGTGGCGGGGGCGTTGGTCAGTCCGAATGGCATGACGGTGTATTCGAAGGATCCGTAGCGTGTTCGGAATGCGGTTTTAGGGCAGTCGGGTGGGTTGACGCGGATTTGGTGGTAGCCTCCTCGGAGGTCGATTTTCGAGAAAACCCGGGCTGTGCGCAGTTGGTCGATCAGTTCGTCGGCTCATGGGATGGGGTAACGGGATTTGATGGTAACCCTGTTCAGTGCCCTGTAGTCGATGCACATGCGAAAACCCCCGTCTTTTTTCGGTGTGAACAGTATTGGTGCGGCGAAGGGCGACGAGCTAGGGCGAATGAATTTCTTCTCGAGCAGGTAGTCGAGCTGCTTCCTTAGTTCGTCTAGTTGGGGTGGGTCAGTCTGAACTGTCGCTGTACTGTTGGCTGTGCCCCCGGTTCCAGTTCTATCCTGTGATCGTGCGGTCGCTGAGGTGGCAGTCCCGTCGGTAAGTCATCCGGGAAAATGTCACTGTATCGTGTTAACAGTGCTGCCAGATCACTCGGTACGTCGGTCAGCAGTTTCTGTAAATCCCCTCCCTTGTCTGCTGCCTCGGCTTCCCGAATGTCAACCGCGTACACGTCAGCTCCGGCCGCAACAGCGCGTTTCATCGTGATCGCATTGACACGCACCGACGAAGACTCAGGCGAGCCCCAGCGAGGTAAGGCGATGTTGTTACCGTTCACTCGCACGGTGCAGTCACCCGTCGTCCAGTCAATTCGCGGGTTGTGTCGTCGCAGCCAATCACGCCCGAGTAAAATGTCGGTTCCGTCGAGGGTCGTTGCGAGCATTTCCTGACTAAACGTGAAGTTACCCCCGCATCGAATCCGAACTCGGTCTACGCGTTCCCGTATTGCCAGCGGCGTGCCGTCTACCAGTCGTGCGTGTTAATGAGGCTGTGGCTGGCTCCCCCGTCTACGAAGATTTTAACTAAGTCCGTCCCAATTTTCCCACTGAGCAGTATAGGGCTGTCTACCGTGGTACCCTCCTTATTCGGCCGAGTGTGGTCGATTGCGTGAACCGGCACAATCACTCGGTGAGGGTCGGTTGGGTCGGGCGAGCGGCGTGACCTGTCAGTAGAGGGCCCGTCTGCTACTGACTTCCAGCGTTTCCCTGCTGCTTGGTCTGTGTCTGCTGCTCAGCTTCCCCCTTTCCCTTAGCGTTTTCCGGGCATTCGCTCTTGCGATGTCCCGGCCGATTGCACGCAAAGCAGCGCCCTTTGAACGGTGCGGCAGCGGCATTTGCGGCGACGGCGCGTATCGTGGCGCTCTCGTTCGTCCCACGAGGCCGATGTCCCCAGGTGTTGTTTCCGTAGGACCCCGGTCTCGGTCGGCGAAAGAAGTCGAGCTTCTCCGCCATAGCGAGAATTTCCTGAAACTCAGTGACGCCGCGAAGCTGGATTTCCTGAGCGATGTCCTGCTTCAGGCCGCCGATGTAGCGGTCGATGCGTTCGCTCTCATGCATGTAGCCCACCTGCTCGCATAGCGCCAGAAATCCGCTCGTGTAATCCTGGACGGAACCGAGTTGGCGCCAAGTGCGGAGCTTCTGTCGCGCCGAGATCGAGGCCGCGATCGGCTCAAATCGAGCGCGCAGACCTGCGCACCACGCGTCCCACGTGCGATACTGGGGCACCTCCACGAAATACGACGGCGCCCAGGGTCCGGTTTGTCCTTCCCGTGTCGGTAGTGTCGCGTAGTCGGTCGGCTTCGTGACGATGACGCGCCACCAGTCCATGGCGGGTCCTCGCAGCAACGACACGGCGTATCGAATCTTCGCCGAGTCCTCCGAGACGTAGTTGGCGTCGAAGAAGACATTCATTGTGAACAACCACGCCTGAACGGTAGGACCACCCCGTTGACTCGGGTCAAAGCATGGCGGGCGCTGCGGCTTCAGCGGCATCGGTGACGGCAGTCCCGAATCGTGGGTTGGTGCCGAAATCGTGACGCGAGGCTGACTTGGGGCCGCATGCGTCGCTCTGGGGTGTGTCGTGCCGTGGTCGTCGTCTCCGTAGGGGCGGACGACGCCATCACTGGCCGCGCTCGCGGGTTGCCCCACACTCCCGTGTTGTGATGTTGAGGGTGCAGGTTGAATCGGAGTGCCAGGTGCTTGAGATTGTGCTTGTTGTGCCCTCATGAGGTCATTTTGCAGCGATGAGCGTTCTGCCGTTAATGCCGCGATTTCCTCGGAGCTTCCGTGCAGCTGTCGCAGCAGATCGTTCAAACGCTCCTGCGTGAGGGTGGTGACGTCGATGTTTTCAGCCATGACGAAGGGCGTCGGCTCGTCTTAGTCTAGGCGCAGTCGTGGCTGCACGCGTTTACGAGAGAACGCGAGGACAGCGGCTCCTAGGGGCTAAGGTGCGTGAGTCCCTTCGAGTGAAAAATCAAAAGTTGATTTCCTGGTGTGCGGAGATGCGCGGTCCGAAAGAAAGGGGCTCTGATAACCAAGTGTTACGGGTGCAATGAATCGAGGTAGCGAGAATTGCACTAAGGTGTCAAACGAGTACAAAATGTGAGCGAAGGCATGAGCGAACATTTATACGCGAAACATGCAAAACGGTAACGCGGTGCGTGCGAGCTTGCTAGTGCTACGCTGGAGCGAGGCTCGGGCTAGTCCCGAAGCGTAGGCCGATACGGCCATGCCAGCAGTGCGAGGTTTGGCAAAACAGTGCGCGCGAAGTCGGCGAGGTTCCGTTAGTAGTAACGGGCGAACAATCGGCTGTTGCTGTACGCGATGTAGTCGGCCCCGTAAGGAATGCCGAGAAAATTCCTTACAACTCTACACAAAAGATTTGATTAGAGACACGTCATCACGAACCAGTGAGAAAACATGTTCGCTTTCTGGTCCTTTTGCTAGTCAGAAATTGCAGAGGTGACACATGGTGCAGAGGATACAATCTGTGTCAGTTAATGGCTTCAACTGAAACTGACACATCCCTCCACATAGGTGCGTCAGATGAACATGAGATGCCCATGTTGGGCTGAAATGCCCTAGGATCTTTGTAGAGTTAAAGTCCGAGTAAAATGATGTAATAGCGGAAGCGTTTGAATAAAGTCCTTGAACCACCTTGCGCTAGTATGTGAGGGCAAAGTAAGTTGATTAAAACAAAGGGATACAAGAATATATATGTATATGAGTATGGAGAATATGAAGAGACATTATAACTACTTTACTGTTGCGGTTCGATACAGTGCGACTCGGGCAACTTCTCAATGTCGAGTCAGTTGTATGTCCTTGCTGTCGCGCTGTATTTGTCAGGTCAAAGGTCGCTGACCTTGGACTTTCGCGTAACCTCCAGCGGTTACATCAACGTCCGAGGGTTGACTCGCTGGTGCTTCGATTGCGTTGCTTCGCTTGTGTCTTAGAGTTCGACACAACAGAGGCGTTTAGGACTTATTTGTTCCCAACAGCCCATACCATTATGATCCTCGCTTCTACGTACAGCCACCAGCGACGGGCAGAACAGAACTGGCTCCTACACACGCTACTCGAGAGCAGCAGCTAGCTACACTACTCTGAATGCTATACACTATCAATGAGATATTGGAAATCCATCACAAACCAGTTAGCTTCGGCAGCAACAACTTTCCGGACCTGGATCCCTCCGTACCCAATGAACATGTCGGCTCCACCTGGTTGCCGAGCCTGCAGAACACATACGGTAAGTGTGGTACACCCAAGGTATGATTTGATAACACAATGATGAATGCTATGATCAATAAAATGATAATTAAAAGTCAGTCAGGGGGAGTGCTCGACACAAAAACCAGCTGCCTTCCATAACAAATGGACACGTGGCATTATCCCAGCCAAACCCAGCATGTGATATCAAGAGTCTATGGAAATTAGCACGAATGGGAGAGCTCACCTCTAGATCAGTGGCACCATCTCCCACCATGACCAAGCTTTTGAATCCATGCTCCTGCACACATGCAAGGAAGCACGTGGAGCAAAAGAAGCATCCAGATGAACAAAACTCCGAAGCAATCAGCAATGTAGGAAACAAATGAAACGAGACAGAGCCACAAGCTCATTCTAATGTGTGGAGAAAACTCGTTCCCTTCACCCGTAACTACTTTACTGTCTTGCTTCAACTGCACAAACCCATATTCCTCCCCTCACATCCCGCCGTGTCCCCCCTCTCCCCCTCCCCCTCGCCTGTTTGGCCCTTTTACCCCGTATTCTCTAGCCAGCCCTTTCCTTCTCCCTCACCATATCCCCCCTCCTCTCCCTCTCATTCTCTCCCATTCCTCACCTGCTTCAGCTGCGCGTATTGCTCTGGCCTTGCCTCCACTCCGAGGACCGAGAGGTGGGCTCAGGCTCACTAGCGTCGAAACTCCCTCCCGCACATCCCTTGTCGTCCCCCTCTTCCCCCCCACCTCCCTCATCAACCCCACATTCTCACCTGCTTCAGCTGCGCGATGGCTCTGGCCTTGCCTCCACTCCGAGAAGTGGGCTCATTAGCGTCAAACCCAGCGTATGCGCCGCTTCCCTCCTCAAAAAGCAGACGGTTGGCGAAGATGTTTGTAACGGGGATGTCCAGAAGCGCGGCGACAGGCTGCGGCAGGGAACGCGAGAGAGCGGCGGGGGCGGGGGTGCGGTTGCACGGGAGCGGAGGAAGGAGAGCCGGGGAAGGGGGGCGGGGGCAGGGGAGCGGGGGCAGAGTAGCGGGGGAAGGAGAGCGGGGGCAGGAGAGGGTGGGCACGGAGGGGGGAGGGACACGGGAGGGAGGCGGGAAGGGGAACGGGGGGGTTGAGCGGAAGCAAGGGAGGCATGAAAGGAGGAAGGGGACAGTGAGCCGAAGAAGGGGGGTTTGGGAGCGAAAATGCGAAGGGGGTGAAGGGCGGGAAGAGAAGAGAGAGACAGCGAGCGGAAAGGAGGCGGGTGGGGAGGATGGGGTGTTTGGGGGAGTTTCAAGATTTCGAGAGTACACGCGAGGTTGAGAGGGGAGAGAGACTGTACGGAAGCGAAGAGGGGAAAAATACATGACTGACCTCAATCATTTGCCGAAAGCCACCAGAAATAAGGTACACCTCGGTTCCTCTCGCCTTTAATCTCTTAACGAGTTCACCAATACCGGGGTTTAGCCTGGCACGAAGGTGGGATATCAAACAACAGCAGCCAACATGCGATTAGAGGTTATGTATACGACGACAGACAACACGAGGCGACTATTAAAACAAAATCAAACGGATATAAACAACCAAAAAATAACAATTAAAGAGGGGAGTTTGAACATAGAGAAGCATTAAGGTCTCTGAGGAACACTACATAGAAAAAGTACTCGAAGATCGTGCCGGGATTATTATACCTTGGCGGATGGTCTCTGAGAAACCCTGCCACGTCAGCAGCGGAGGGATTAAATATCTCCAGCCGAGCGGCCAGAGCTGTTTCAAACGGAACCGACCCGGACATGGCCCTGCGCGGGCAGTTGGGAGAACAATTTGGCAAGGAATCCGGGCAGGGGAGGGAGGAGGGAGCAGGGTAGAGGAGGATTAGATCGTTTCGCATGGGAGATCCATCAAGGCGGATCATGCTGTATCGCGCCCAAGCATTGAGAAATTAAAAAATAGAGGGGAACAGGCGAAGGCCAGGCGATGCAAGGACGATGGCCGGGCGCGCGATGGCCACACGATGGCCAGGCGATGGCCATACGATGGTCAGGCGATGGCCATACGATGGTCAGGCGATGGCCATACGATGGTCAGGCGATTGCCATACGATGGTCAGGCGATGGCCATACGATGGTCAGGCGATGCCCGGGCGCGCGATGGCCAGGCGATGGCCAGGCGATGTCACCCGACGGCCTCAAACCGCCGCCAAGAAACAAAGCGGCGGTCAGTCGAGACCGACAGGGTGAATTGCTTGCGATGTAGCGGCATCATGCTAGGAACGGACGCCATTGAAGCCCTGAGGCTGGCAGTCAGGCCTTCTCAATAGCCGCAGATACATTCATCTAGAATATGGCGAGAGAGGACAGAAAAGAAGAGGATATCCAGGTACAAGCTCACTCAGACTTATTTCTTACTTGGTCGTCCAGGCAGCTACTGCCTCGCCCGCTCCGCAATATGCGGCGAGCTCGTCGATGCCCTCGTCGACGCAGACCGTGCTGTCGACGTCGAAGCACACCGCGTCCGCCGCTCGCCACACGCGCAGCACGTCTGGGAGGTGCGCACGAGAAGGGTGAGCGGAGGGGAGGGGTAGGGATTCTTATAGGCGCATGAGAAGGTGTCGAAAAACAATAACAGATCGAAGAGGTTTTAAGATAAGGCAATGTGCTTCACGAAGGTATGCTACGGTTTCGAAAGTGCTGTCAACAATGCGTCGTAATCCTTTGATTTGAACGGCTGACACAGCTGCATAACAGTGTCATTAGATCGAATACAAACCTTCCGAAGGGGTTGTGTTAGTTGTCCAAGCACTACTAGTCGCGCTGCATATAACGCTGGTCGTCGCGTTGCTCGTAGAGCCAGAGCTTCTTCCCGGATACGCCATCCGCAATGGCCGCTGCGCCGACAAGCCGGAAAATCGGCCAGAAGACGTAGTTGACGGACTCTGGCAACGAGCCGATGAGGTTCGGGGCAGAGGAGTCAGCGCAGCAACAGATCGAGACACCTTGACGAGCATCTGACTGGCAGCCGATGGCGCCATGACTGCTCTGCTGGAGCAGAAAGGCAGCAAGCAACCCAATTGTGGTCGCTGGATTGCTGATACCCTTGAATGGCCAGACCAGAGAAAGAAGCGAGGAAAAAGAGGAATCGGGAGACAGAAGCCAAGTGAGGTGGGGAGAGGCGAAGAAAGGTGAGAAGAGGCGAAAAGAGGCGGTGAGGTGATGAGGGAGGGGAGATGAGAGGAGGAAGATGTGAGGAAAGGACAGGCGAAATATGAGGGGGGGCGAGGAGGGAAAGGGAGGGGGAGTGAAGAGAGGGTGGAGAATCCATTCGTAGGTGAGCAAATGTGTGGTGTGATTCGAAAAGGGAGAAGATCATACAGGGGCCGAACAGTGCCAGGGAGGTGATCGAACAGGGGCCAAGAGGCCCAGAACTAACCAAACCACTGCGCAAAAAGTTATTTGCACAAGATTATCATTTATTGAGCGTATGTCCGTTAACAGTTTGCATTGATGCTCGCGCATCACTTTTCATGGAAATATTTACTGATTCATCACCTTCCACCCAATAGCGTCGTTTAGCAAGGCAGAAACTCTTAGGGCGCGTCATATCCGTTACAAGGTGATTTGGCTGGGATTTGGTCGACAATTTGGTCGACAATATCTTTCGCCAAAATCGACAACATGGTCGACTTCAAAAGCGACCAATATCCGGCCACATTTACAGGGCCGAAAAATCTGACACATTTGGTGGCCGATGTGCAGACCGCTTTGCAAATGTGTCAGATTTTCAGGCCAGGGTGGCCGGATTGTGCGACGGAGTCGCAGATGCAGTATTTCTGTGACATGTTGTGTCACACGAGTTGGCGACGTCGCATAGTGACTCTAGTGATCTCAGGTCGACAAATGTCAAACTCATATAATATAGCTTGTGTAGGCTATAGTTGGGTAGACACTATGGGGTACAGTTTCCTAGGGTTTCCTACTTGTACCCAACTTTGTGCTAGTTCATTTCATTCCTCAATTCTCACATGGTATAGAGCAGGTTCCCTCGTGGGAACTTCCTAGGGCCCACCACTGAACTTCGACTTTTTTTTTCTGCCCTGAGATCGAGTCGCTCCTGACCGAGGCGCGCCCAGTGTGCCGCGCTCCCCTTAGCGACCCGTCGCACCGCCCTCAGCGGCCCTCCCCCTCTCTTACGGCCCCTCGCGACCCCATCGCCGCTCTCCTAGCGGCCCGTCGCGCCGCCCTCAGCGGCCCCTCCTCCACGGCCCCGTCGCCGCCCTATCGCGGCCCCGTCGCCGCCCTATCGCGGCCCCGTCGCCGCCCTCTTGCGGCCCCGTCGCCGCCCTATCGCGGCCCCGTCGCCGCCCTCTTGCAGCCCCGTCGCCGCCCTCTCGAGGCCCCGTCGCCGCCCTATTGCGGCCCCGTCGCCTCCCTCTCGCGGCCCCGTCACCGCCGTTCGCGGCCCCGTCGCCGCTCGTAGCGGCCCTGCAGCCGCCCCTCACGGCCTCGTCGCCGCCCTCTCGCGGCCGCGTCGCCGCCCTCTAGCGGCCCCCGTCGCCGCCCTCTTGCGGCCCCGTCGCCGCCCTCTCGAGGCCCCATCGCCGCCCTATCGCGGCCCCGTCGCCTCCCTCTCGCGGCCGCGTCGCCGCTCTCTAGCGGCCCCCGTCGCCGCCCTCTTGCGGCCTCGTCGCCGCCCCTCCGCGGCCCCGCTACCGCCCCTCCGCGGCCCCGCTACCGCTCCTAAGCGGCCACGACGCCGCCTCCTACGCGGCCTCGACGCCGCCTCTGCCGAGCCGCCCAGCAGCAGAGCCGCCGAGCCGCCCAGCAGCCGAGCCGCCCAGCAGTAGAGCCGCCGAGCCGCCCAGCAGCCGAGCCGCCCGACAGTCGAGCCGCCGAGCCGCCCGACCGCCGAGCCGCCCAGCAGCCGAGCCGCCCAGCAGCCGAGCCGCCTAGCCGCCGAGCCGCCCGACAGCCGAGCCGCCCAGCAGCCGAGTCGCCGAGCCGCCCGACCGCCGAGCCGCCCAGCAGCCGAGCCGCCCAGCAGCCGAGCCGCCTAGCCGCCGAGCCGCCCGACAGCCGAGCCGCCCAGCAGCCGATGTCAGAGTTATATTATTGTAACTGCATGTAGATATAGCAGTAGTGTAGTTATCACATTCTGTTTGGTGGATTACCCCCTTTCCTATCATATTTGTACCCTTAGCTCTATAGTGAAGTCCTTTTTCATTGCCAACTCCCTCACACTCTACCTCCTAGCATGGCTCCTAAGGCTAAACCCTAGCAACATATCTTGACATGGTACAGAGCAGGAATTTCTCCTGAGGACCTATCTTTTTTTAATGATCATGGGCCCACCCGTCGTGCCGCCCGTAATGCGCCCCGCGGGTCCCCCGAATCGCCCCGTGGACGAACCCCGCGGGTCCCGTTTTTCGCTTTCTGCAGGCCCTTCGTTTCGCGTCGCGCCCGTGCGCCCTTTTCGTCCGTCACGCTCCCCCCGTCGCCCCGCGATCCGCCTTCGCCAGCGCGGACGCCAGCGCCACGGCCAGCCGCGAGCGCCAACGCTGCAGCCAGCCGCGAGCGCCAGCGCCTGCGCGGACCGCTAGCGCCACCGCCAGCAGCTGCGACGGCCGCCAGCGCTAGCGCCAACGCGACCGCCAGCGCCGGAAGTGGGTGATTCCGCCCTTCCCTTCCGTCGTGGGGGGGGGGGGGTTGGGGGGAGGGGGCGGGTGTGAGGAGCCTGCCGCTCCTCCCTCCCTTCCCTCTTCCTCTCTCCCTGCAGCAATTGTTGCTGAGGGGAGGGGGGGGGGAGAGAGGGTAAGGGGGGATAAAGGAGGGTATGAGAGAGAGTGGCAGAAGCAGCAGCCCTGCATTTGCAACTGCCACCCCCTGCTCCTGTGGCACCTCCAGCTGCAGCCCCTGTTGCCACTTAATTCGTCTCTTTCGTTTGCTGCTGTTGAGCGGCAGGTGCTGCCGTTGAGCCTGCTGTGCCGCCGCTTGTTGCCGCCGCACGCCGCTCTCCAGGCGACCTGCGCCACATGCACCTTTCTTTCGTTTCTGTATTGGCTAAGGGGTTTCTGCTGTTGTTTCTGCCACTGCTGCACTGGTTGTCATTGCTCTTGCGTGCTAATGCTTTCAGTACACTTGCGGGTTGTGATTTATGCTTTGCTATTCCTGCATGCAGTTAAGGGGGGATGTCAGAGTTATATTATTGTAACTGCATGTAGATATAGCAGTAGTGTAGTTATCACATTCTGTTTGGTGGATTACCCCCTTTCCTATCATATTTGTACCCTTAGCTCTATAGTGAAGTCCTTTTTCATTGCCAACTCCCTCACACTCTACCTCCTAGCATGGCTCCTAAGGCTAAACCCTAGCAACATATCTTGACATGGTACAGAGCAGGAATTTCTCCTGAGGACCTATCTTTTTTTAATGATCATGGGCCCACCCGTCGTGCCGCCCGTAATGCGCCCCGCGGGTCCCCCGAATCGCCCCGTGGACGAACCCCGCGGGTCCCGTTTTTCGCTTTCTGCAGGCCCTTCGTTTCGCGTCGCGCCCGTGCGCCCTTTTCGTCCGTCACGCTCCCCCCGTCGCCCCGCGATCCGCCTTCGCCAGCGCGGACGCCAGCGCCACGGCCAGCCGCGAGCGCCAACGCTGCAGCCAGCCGCGAGCGCCAGCGCCTGCGCGGACCGCCAGCGCCACCGCCAGCAGCTGCGACGGCCGCCAGCGCTAGCGCCAACGCGACCGCCAGCGCCGGAAGTGGGTGATTCCGCCCTTCCCTTCCGTCGTGGGGGGGGGGGTTGGGGGGAGGGGGCGGGTGTGAGGAGCCTGCCGCTCCTCCCTCCCTTCCCTCTTCCTCTCTCCCTGCAGCAATTGTTGCTGAGGGGAGGGGGGGGGGGAGAGAGGGTAAGGGGGGATAAAGGAGGGTATGAGAGAGAGTGGCAGAAGCAGCAGCCCTGCATTTGCAACTGCCACCCCCTGCTCCTGTGGCACCTCCAGCTGCAGCCCCTGTTGCCACTTAATTCGTCTCTTTCGTTTGCTGCTGTTGAGCGGCAGGTGCTGCCGTTGAGCCTGCTGTGCCGCCGCTTGTTGCCGCCGCACGCCGCTCTCCAGGCGACCTGCGCCACATGCACCTTTCTTTCGTTTCTGTATTGGCTAAGGGGTTTCTGCTGTTGTTTCTGCCACTGCTGCACTGGTTGTCATTGCTCTTGCGTGCTAATGCTTTCAGTACACTTGCGGGTTGTGATTTATGCTTTGCTATTCCTGCATGCAGTTAAGGGGGGATGTCAGAGTTATATTATTGTAACTGCATGTAGATATAGCAGTAGTGTAGTTATCACATTCTGTTTGGTGGATTACCCCCTTTCCTATCATATTTGTACCCTTAGCTCTATAGTGAAGTCCTTTTTCATTGCCAACTCCCTCACACTCTACCTCCTAGCATGGCTCCTAAGGCTAAACCCTAGCAACATATCTTGACAGCCGAGTCGCCGAGCCGCCCGACCGCCGAGCCGCCCAGCAGCCGAGCCGCTGAGCCGCTACCAGTCCTACCGACGCGCCCCGGCCCTACTTACTCGTACTGGTGAGCCCACTACTTGCTAGACCTCTGCAGTCATGGCTACCCCTAGTGTTCTTACTTTTGACACTGAGGGCCGTGCTGTTGACTTTGAGGTCTGGGTCGATGACCTCCAGCTGTTCCTCCAGTGCGATAGGGCAGACGGCCTCTCTCTATTCGACCTCACCTCTGGTGCCTCCCCTGCCCCGCCTGCTACTGCTGACAGCACTGTTCGCTCATAGTGGGCGACACGCGATGCTGCTGCCCGTCTTGCTGTGCGTCGACACTTACCGACCACTAAGCGTACACACTTTAGCCAGTACAAGAGTGCTCAGACCTTGTACGACGCTGTAGTTGCACGCTACTCTTCCCCTGCCACTGCTGCACTGAGCCCCCTCATGCTACTGTACCTCTTCCCTGACCTTGCTGCCTTTCCCACAGTCGCTGACCTCATTACGCGCCTCCGCACTAGTGACACTCGCT